CTCCAAGGTCCCTTCCAACTTTATTATTATTATTATTATTATTATTATTATTATTATTATTATTATTATTATTATTATTATTATGGATCATCGCAGTCAGCCAGATGTTCAGACTGGATTTGGCATTTTGTCTACCTATCGAGTCCTTATCCAGGACCTGGGATAGGCAGATGTGGATGTTTGATAGTATTACAGATTTTTTATTATTATTATTATTATTATTATTATTATTATTATTATTATTATTATTATTATTATTATTATTATTCCACACCCATTTGCACTACTCAGGTGACCCTGAGGAACAGGTAAACCTCTAAGCGGCCTCAATGCCTCTCTAACAAGAATGCAAATGACTAGCTCTCTGCAAGGAGTATAAATCCTTCCATTCTTCACCATCCAGTTCAGAGCTGAAGAAGCTTCTTGGATGTGAAGCGAAATGTCTTCATAGAAAAACAAGGAAGTCCAGTTGCCTCTTGAAAAAGCACCTTTGGGACAACCATGACCTGGATGGTTGAGAATCTCCATAGAGCGCCAGATGTTTTTGACTTCCGCTTTAGGAGGCCTTTTTCTCTGACTGCAGTCACTAGTCTCATGACGTAGAAATAAAGATGCCTTGGCCGTAAATGGGTTTTTGAGCCTACAGCCAACCAAAAAAAGGAAGAGGAGCCGATTGGCAGACTCCCAACGTGCTTAATTTAAATTCTGCAATCCAGTTGGGCGAAGGCTGCTCTAGATTAAAACAAACAAACAAACGAACGGGTCTTTCTAAATTTTGGGCTGGGAACTACGGCTTGCTTTCTACTCTGTAAGATTTCAAGCGAGCTTTGGGGAAAAAAACATTCACCAGTTGGGTTGTACGTTGTGAGGTCGCCCGAACAGCTCGATCTTGCGGGTGCCCGGAGAAAGCCGCTCAATCATGCCGTAAATCTCATCCGGCTTGTGACTGGTAGAGCGAACCTGCAGAGGAAGAGGGAGTAGGTGGCAAAGTGCGTCCGGTGTGGCAGCAACCCACGAGGCATGACAGACCTCAACCAAAGAGCGTTGGCTTGTCGCCTCACCTCTGCCACAATCACGTCACAGTCAAGACCTCTGTTGAAGCCTTGGGGGTTTCCTTTCACGCCAACCTGTCCGTCAAAACAAATAAGGGTAGTGTCAACCGTCCCATTTGGCACAATCAACCAAAGGAACTCCCGGCTCTTTAAAGTAACCAAGAGTGTAGCTTTATTGAAAAAAAAAAATCCATCTAGGCCCAGCCGAAGCAAAGTCTGGGATTTGTCCCACCAAAACCCGCAGAGATAACTCTCCTTTCCCCCTCCAGGCCATCCACAGTTCATAGTTCACCAGCTGAGTTTAGTTCTTTTTAAAAAAAAAAATATTATTAAATATTTTATTAAGTTTTTTCAGGGTGGGGAAAAGCGAGGGTCATTATGAGTGGTGGGGTTCAGGTGGGGTTCAAGGGAGGATTTAGGGTGGGAGTGGGTACAACAATAGGGTTGTCCCCAATAACATTTCACGCTTTAGCAAGCAAGCTATCATCCGGATACAAATATTCCACAGGGCTAATATAATGATCAGTAACTGTAGTCAAAAACATTGCAGACTACAGGAACCATTTGCGCTTCGGTCTGAGATGCAGACAACACAAACTCATCCCCAAGAACGAGGGGGGACATGATAGCCGTGTTCCAATATCTCAGGGGCTGCCACAAAGAAGAGGGAGTCAAGCTATTCTCCAAAGTGCCTGAAGGCAGGACAAGAAGCAACGGGTGGAAACTGATCAAGGAATGAAGAAATGCACCGTGCCTTGGCGCTTGCCCCGGTCCCACCCCCTTCTGCCAGAGACCCTCAGATCTGTCCCACTCCTGCCCAGGCCCCCACAGGCACCCTTGACGTGAACGATGTAGAGCTGGCCATGCCCACCCAGTAGGCCACACCCAATCCATCCACGCCTACCCAGTAGGCCGCACCCACCCTAGCCACACACACCCGCCCCTGCCGAGGGCAACCGCAATGCTGATGCGGTCCTCAATGAAATTGAGTTTGACACTCCTGCTCTATTTACCAAGCAGTGCTCCTTGCCGTGGTTGAGCCAATGGCCTGTCCTTCCTGTTCGGATAATACGCTGCAGCTGGTTGGTTTTCACCCAGATGATCTCATCCACCCGCTCGTACCTGAGGGGGAAGACACGAAACAGAGCCTGGTCAAAGAGGCAGAAGAGGACTTGCAGAACGTTAAGGATGAGC